AAAAAAAAAAAAAAAAAAAAAAAAGAGGAGGAGAAAAACGGAAAAACGGCAGGAAAAAAAAAGAGGGGAAAAAGAGCAGGGGAAAGCAAAACGGAAAAAGAAAACAAAAGAAAAAATGAAAAAATAATGAGGGAAAGAGGAAAAAAGAATAAAAAATAAAAAAGAAAACTAAACAAGAAAAAAGAAAAAGTGAAAGAAAAGTAAAGAAATAGAAATAGCGAGGCAGGCTGTTCTCCAGTCTCCTGTCCGTGCTGTTGCCCTCTCACTCTTGGGTGCCATTGACCCCAGGGCTGGCAGCACTGATGTGATTTCATGGTCCACATCTGTGTCCCCACAGGGTGCCAGGAGGCAGCACAGCCTTCACCTTGACTGTCCTGGGAAAGAGGCTATTTTCCAAAAGTCCCATGAGATGACACAGCCTTTACCACAACTGGAGATAAGGTGTCCCCATAAAAGCCCCATGAGATACCACAGATAGGGAAACGGTGTCATCATAAAAGCCCCATGAGGTACTGCAGCCTTCACCACAGCCAGGGAAAAGATGTCCTCATAAAAGCCCCACGAGACACCACAGGCTTCACCACAACCAAAGGCAAGGCGTCCCCATAAAAGGCCCCATAAGATGGCTCAACCTTCACCACAGCCACAGACAAGGCATCCCCTGAAATCCCGCAAGATGATGCAGCCTTCCCTGCAGCAGAGGAGAGGGGTGTGCCCATAAAAGCCCTATGAAATAATACAGACTTCACCACGGTGCTAAGGTGTCCTCATAAAAGGCCTCATGAAATGACGCAGCCTTCGCCACAGCTGGGAACAAGATGTCCCCATAAAAACAGCATGAGGTACCAGAGCCAGGGACAACGGTGCCCCTAAAAAAGGCCTCATAAGATGATGGGAAGAAGGTGTCCCCATAAGAAACCCACGAGATACACAGTCTTCACCATGGCCAGGGACAATGGTGTCCCCATAAGCCCCGGGAGATGATACAGTTTTCATACTGCAAAAAGGCCACTTTCACCAAAACCCGACAAAAACCCTGCAGCGAGCCAATCCCACCCTGTGACACCCCTTCCCAACCTCCAAAAAGAAGCAGAAAAGGGAAAAAAAAACCCCATAAACATTGCACAAAACCAAGCATTACCTTCCTTCTCTTCCCAGGAGGACGGCCATGAACAGGCCTGAAGGCCGCACGTAGGCCGCAGCAAGGCAATGTTTGTGGGGGTGGCTGTTTTAGGGGAAAAAATGGGATTTAGGGGGAAGGGGTGGGGAAAATGCTGCCAGTGCTATGGCCACTGACCCCCTGGATGCATGGAGCACATCTGGGGTATTGGTGGCACCGGCATCAGCCACAGCAGCCCTACTCTCTCCATGCATTGCTTTATCTCAGCCAAGAGCCCCCAAATAACCTCTCCTTCACCCAAAAAATCATCCTTCAGACTCTTGCTGGAGGATGGTGGCATAGGGACAGCAAGCCCCAAAAATCTTTGCCTCATGCCTTTGCAGGCAACCCAACGGTTGGGGTTGGAGGCACCTCTGAAGGTCACCAGCCTCCCTAGTCATGATACCTGCGTGGATGGAGACTCCATGGCCTCTCTGGGCGACCTTGTGCCAGTGCTCGGTCACCTTCACAGTGAAGAAGTGTTTCTTGATGTTCAGAAGAACCTCCTGGGTTTCAGTTTGTTGCCCATTGCCTCCTGTCCTGGTGCTGGGCACCACTGAGAAGAACCTGGCTCCATCTTTACAGCCTCCCTTTAGACACTTATCCCTTGATAAGAGCTCCCAGAACCTTTTCTTCTTCAGACCCAGCTCTCACTGCCTTTTGTCCTAGAAGACATGCTCCAGCCCCTGCTTCATCTTCATGGCCCATCACTGGATTTGTTGCAGTATGTCTAAGTCTCTCTTGCACTGGGGAGCCCATCGCTGGATGCAGCAATCTTGAGCGGCCTCACCAGTCCCAAGGGGCAGGATCACCTCCCTTAACCTCCTCCAGCACTGCTCAAGCAGTACCACTGGCCCTCCTTGCCCCAAAAGCACATTGGTGTCTCATGGTCGAGTTGGTGGCCAGTAGGACCTCCAGACCCCTTTCTACAGAGCTCCTTTTCAGCCTGGTGGCCCTCAGCACAATCTGGTGCCTGGGGCTGCTCCTCCCCAGGGGCAGAACTTTGTGCTTCCCCTGGTTGAACAAAATGGACTCAGAGTTGGTGCTCTGCACCCCCTGGGGATGGAACAGACCCTTGCCC